TAATTTCCTGCATGGTCAGCGGGTTGCCCGGAGTGGAGAAGCAGAAAACTGTAAAAGAATATAAGACAACCAAGTCTAACTGATAGGTGTCTGTGATAAGTAGCAATGGGCGAACCATTAAAGCTAGTTCAGATGCTAATAAGACTGAACAAAAGCAGGTCGGAACCAAAGTAGAAGCCGAGCTACCGTGTTTCCCTGAAAATAAGACAGGGTCTTATATTAATTTTGGCTCCAAAAATGCATCAGGACTTATTTTTCAGGAACTTTATGGTCCTGCCTTATAGCTGCCTTACACAGATCCCAGTGATGTCCTCTAGCTGAAAAAGACTCCCCCCACCCCAGAATTCTAGCTTGGGGTACCTCTGTAATATTTCAACGTCCCATACTAAAAAAAAAAAAACACACAGGAAAATGTTATGCCCAATAGTACATGTTCACCATGATACACAAATTCCAGCAGTCAGTCACATGACTTGGCACATGGATGAGGAATACAAGCAGCAAATTGTTAACTAATACTAATTAGTCACTGCAATGTACACCACTGCCATTACACTAGAGCAAATAACCAACAGATTGGCCTCAACATGTTTGTCGCAGTGAATGGTTGTTGAAACAGGAGGTATCAACTTATAGGATGTTTTGGTTGTAGTTTGTTTCCTATTGCTTGATGTCCAGTAAACAGCAGAGACATAAAGGGGGCAGAAAACCATACCATAACTTTAAATACACACAGTGGTTTAGGTCTCTGGCTGCAGACCCAGAGGTCGGAAGTTTGATTCTCCATGGTGACTCCTTGACAGAGCTGGACCCGATGATCCATAGGGTCCCTTCCAGCTCGGCAGTTCTAAGATGATGATGATGATGAATGGCGTATGTGCACCCAAACCTGCAAATTCTTCTATGGGAGCCAGGATTTGGGAGTTCAATTCCCCACAGTGCCTCCTGCAATTAGAGCCAGCCTGTGTGGCCTTGGGCAAACTGCACAGTCCCAAGGTTGCCCCCAGAAGAAGGGAACAGTCAACCACTTTTATGTATTCTCTACCTGGAAAACTTAGGAAAGGATTGCCAGAAGTCAGAATTGACTTTACAGCACATGATTCTTATTGTAATATATTTGAAGAATTCCGGAAGCGCTTTGAATCAAAGGTCGTGTGTGAACATCCTAATGGTAACTATAATGTCAATAATAACGTTAACAACAACAATAACACTAAGGCTTTCATTGCCAACATGGCTATAGGACATGGCTAATTATTGCCAGCACCAGAAGCAGCTTGTGGTTTTATATTACACTGAGGTAAATTACACTGGAATTAGAGTGGATTACTTTTATCAAATAGGGAATAAGCTGTTAATTAACTCCCTGCTGTAGCAATCTCTTTCAGAGCTTGCAACTGTTATTAGCTCTAGATTAAACTGTTGAATTAATTTCCCACTTACTTACTATTTCAAGCATTTTTTTTTAATTTACCTGGCAGCAGCTTTAATAGGAAATTGTATTAACAAACATAAATGGTTTGGGCTCCCCCTTTTCTTTCTGGTAGGGAAAGCAAACCGTTTGTGATAATATTTACGAAGTCGTTTTGTTTGGGGAAAGGCGCGTGCACGCACGCACCCGCACAATTGCAGTTTTAATTAGTGCGCGGCTGTCAGAGCAGTACGTCTCTCGGAGAAAATAAATACTCAGGTAATCCATGCATTTAGAATGGCCTGCAAACAGAAGAGGTATGCCAATCAAGTGCTGGCTTGTGTAGTGGTGGTGGTGGGGCTTTGTGGGGGGAAATTAATTTAAAAAGAGAACTCTCTCTTTCATATTTCAAAGGGAAGTTTGGATTAGGACTCAGGAGTTCGAAACAAATTTCTAACAGTTCAATGAAATCCAGAGATGCATATCCAGGGAACAATTACTTTGCTGAAGGCCAGTCCCAACATGAGGGCGTATGATGCATCCCAGAACTCTTGGGGGGCACACAAAGTGCAAAAATGCAACGACAATATGTTGGGGGTTTTTGCAACCTCGCATGCTGCCTTTAGCAGCTTTGGCTGAGAGGGACTTATTCTCAGCTGGGGTAATTCTAGATCTATCCAGAACTAACCAATCGTTTCCTCCTGCTTCTGATTTTAAAGAGAGCCTGACCTCTCTGCTAAGAGCCTTCCCCCTCTCTAGTGTCTATTGAAGTCTGTTGCTGAAAGCAGTCATGTTTGTCAGTTTGCTGTTCGATACGCTTGATTGTAAGTAATTGAACTTTTTATTCTTTCTCCTATTGATGTCTCAGAATGAGTTATTGAGTCTGTAAGTGCCAGTAAATGGGGAAAAGAGGTTAACTGCTCTGGAGAACTTGAAGCTAATCTGCTTTGTGAATCCCTGCACTTCTGCTGTGCAGCAGGGGGAAATTCAAAACTCTGGAACACAACTCCTGAAAATGGAATTGGGTAGAAGCACATGATTATTATTGCTAGTAGCTAATGAACATTGACAAAAAGGAAATGAGGGGGTGAATAGTCTTACATTCAAAGGACATTGTTTAGGAGAAAATATTTTCCTCCTGCACACCAGGCCATGACAGCTCTCAAGAAATCTGGAACTGAATGTGACCCTCTTGCTAAAAGAGCTTCCTCTTTGTCATAATGTGTGAAGGCCCAAAAACTGCCCAGGAGAACTCCCAGATTATGTATCATCCACCCCAAACCAAACTGGATTCTTTACTCACAATACCTCCAAGCTTGTCTTTGTCAAAGCAACCAATAACATTAGTGAAGCAGGACAAAAAAGAACATCTCTAACAAAAGCTTTGTTACAGATTCCATCCTCTATTAGCCCTGTAGATGCTTCCAGAAGGGGGGAAAATCCTAGCGCTATTAAGCTACCCAAATGTTCCGTAAATTTAAGAGGAAAGAGAGGTATAATTAAATGTATTAAAGTACAAACACAAAGAATTTTCTTTACATTAGTTGGTTTTGTTTCAATTAATTTCAGTCTTTTATAAGGATTTAATTATTCATGCAAAGGAAAAAAAACTGAATTGAAATATATATGGACAGCACAATTTGCTGATGTCTAAGACTGCTTTACAGCCTTTATAATACAGGAGTAATTTCAAAAATAATAGGCTGAAAATAGTTTTTTTAAAATAAACACACACCTCCCAGACTAATAGCATTTTGCCTCAAATTACCATTTTATTGCATGGTTTCAATTAGCAATTTCTCCTCTTTCTCAAAGATACAAATTGCTCTTTTCTTTCCTCTGGAGAAAATTACGAGATGACAGAAGTACTAAAAAGACATCACAAAACACCAGCCTTAACTTCAACTGAAAGCCTTTATCCACACCATTTCCCATCGTGAATTCTTTTGTGAACAACACTGAGTACGTTCAACTCCATTCAAAACACACCTATGAGGCATGTCTCTTTCTAATGGTTACCCATAATATTCTACCAAAATCCATCCATCCATCGGCTACACATACAATGCTGAACAATTACAAACAATCCATGTTTCCAATTTCAGTATGCCCTGCTCGCTTTGAAGTCCTTAGGAAAGCAGTTGTGGTATTACTTAAAGCGCTTACACTATTAACATGCGGAACATTTTAGATTACAGGTGCAGAGATTACCTCACCCAGATGCTATGAGGCTACATCTGGAAATGAAGGAATAAGCTTGTTCTTGATTTCTTTGTAGACTAAATCTCAAGGGTCAGGTTGAGCTTGAAAGGAAGAGCACAAAACCGAACCAAAGGTTCACAATACTGAAAGCTTTAAATCACTCTCTCCAAAAAGGTGGCTCAGCTTTAATCATGATGAGGCACAGGATTTTCACATTTTCTGGACTGTAGATTAACATAATTCTCAATTATGGGGAAACCAAGTATTTTACAGACACCTGACAAGCACATACATGTGACATGGAAGGCCTAATTCTTGAAATTAGAAGGTTTTAAGGCCACCCGAGTTTTCTGTTCCTGCCCAGTTCTAGCTGGGAGCTGGGTTCCGGAGTACAGTGGACCCCCGACTTACAAACAGCTCCACTTACAGACTTTTCGAGTTACAGACTTCTCTGGCCGCAAAATTTAAGTTCAACTTGCAGCCGGAGAATCGACCTACAGACCGGGGAAAAAACATAATGGAACAAAAACGGCTAGTTACAGATTAATCGGTTTTCAATGCATTGTAGGTCAATGGAGCCTCGACCTACAGACTTTTCGACCTGCAGCCACCGTTCCAATACGGATTAATTCCGTAAATCAAGGGTCCACTGTAGAAAGTTTCGGTAGAGATTGGCTTAGCTGAACCTCAAAGCCTTCCGGTTTAAGCCTTTCTGCAAAGGCCATCACGTGGAGGTGTTTGTAAGGTAAGTAAAACTCTTGGAATGGAGAATTATGGGATCAGTCATCTAGAAAATCCAAAAATCCCACCTCTAGCCCTGAACCAATGTTGTACAGATGGAACAACCGTACTAACAGGTCTTTTCTACACCATTTAATGCCTGGGAATGCAGCATTGACACCAACACCAAAGTGAACGGAAAACCATTTCCAGAAACAGGGGCTTGGTGTATCTTCTCTTTTTTTGACCCATTGTGCATAAGCCACATCTTCTCCACATGTTTCATCTTGTCCACTGAACATCTGGCACTAGGTTTGTAGTCACCAACCTGCCCATAGCATACATGACAGAAAGCATGCCCAAAACTTCAAAAGCTATTACTTTACAATGGACTGTGGATTTTCTCCCCTGATTCACCAATATAACAAACAAACAAAAACTACCTATGATACACAGCATAAATAAGTACTTCCCTTTATTCATGATATTCTGGCTGAATGTCAAATCAGTTTGCACTGCAACTTTAACTCAAGTGATGGTTAACTTAAAACAGAACAAAAGAGTGAAAGACAGGCATTCTAAACCATTTTAAAAGTGACCGAAACAGAGGCAGTTTTGCATAGAAAAATATATTTAAGTCACACAAGATATAAATAGGAGTAAACACCTTGTATTTGAAGAGTCTTGAGCTCTGCAAACTTTATGTAGTTTTCATCAGGGAAAAACAAAGTTCTTATATCTGGAAAGAAAAACACTGTTAAAAGCATTTATATAGTAGGGGACAGGAATGGCGTGTTTAATGCTATCAGTACAAACAGGAGCAGAAAGAAGTTGGCATTTCAGATTTGGAAAGCTCCATGTGTAAGAACATCTGTACATTCAGAGACAGTTATAGATCCACCCCACATCTAAGATTCATGATAGAAATGCTTTCAAAAACCAAGTAAGATATAGTCACCCGGAGCCGTATAATTTCAGGTGGTGAAGAATTAACTCCTGGATGCTTTCCCAAATTGCTGAACGCAGAAATTAAAGTTGGTGTTTTCAGAGGAATCCAGACTAACTTAAGGCCACCAATTTCCTATTCCTATAAAGGTGTCTGTGGAAATGACCAAAAAAAATTGTACTTTGGGCTGTTGAGCAGCAATATCGCATAAGCCAGAGAATCATCTATTTGGATTCTCCATAGTTTCCCTGGACAAGAAAGGCTGCAGCAGCCATGCCATCTAGTTTAGGATGATGCACAAAGACTTCATCAAGCCTTCGTGCATCATCCTAAACTAGATGGCATGGCTGCTGTGGCCTTTCTTGTCCAGGGAAGAAATCAGAAACTTCATGTTTCTGATTTTCCCAGAGCAACTTCTGTAAGCTTTAGGAGCTTTCCATGGTCCTGATAAAGAACCTAGATATCTTTCAGCTAGTAAACTGAGACTACGAGTACTAAGACTGGAAACAAAAAGGAGCCACAGAGACATGAGAGGGAAGTGCCCACATAGCTAGAGAAAACTTGAGAATTTTCCAATACGGATAAGCCATTAAGGAGACCAAAATAGCAGTACCAGCCGGATAAGGATCGGGCAGCCCCTCACACCACACAGCATCCTGGAGAAGGGCACCGTTGGCTCACTGGAGCTCTGAGGAGTACCACGTCCTTTTAAGCAAGAAGCATGCTAATATTTAGCACTGTAGCATGTCCCATTTGTCAACTATTTATCAGCTGAGGCCTGGAATTTACACACGGAGGATCAATTGGATGTACTTAAAACCTCCCCTGCAACTAGAAATCATTCTGTAAAAGCTGGACTGAGGCTAATACATGTAAACAGATATGGGGCAGGGCTAGCACAGGGTTAGGAATGGAAGATAATTTAATTTCTCATAATTTTTTCCATTGAGTTTACCACAATCTGTGCTCCCTCCTCCAGTCACCTGTGATTGAGAGTAACTGAGATTAAAAATGTGTGCATGTGAGAGGAAACAAAACTGGCTTTTGGTTCAAGGCTATGAGTCTTTAGCTCTGAAGTTCCCTGCGAATTCAGCTGTGTTCGTACCAAATTTGGGGTGCCTTTTTTTCCCTTTCTTTTTCTCAAAAACTCCCCAACTTTAAAAGGCAGGGAGGACATGGTTCTCGCTGTGGTTGTAAAAACTGTGGTTGGTACAAGCCAGAGGAGAATTTCATGTCAGCCTCTGAGGAAATTTGCCCAGATTCGTACATATCTTTACATACTGGAGAGAGAAAGACTGCAATGTTTCAGAGGGGAAATCAACTGTGTGAAAAAGCAAAACCACACATTTTTCTATCCTTACATCTCGCATTCTCACTTGGCCCATCACATACCGTGAAGAGAGAGGTGATGTATTCTGATTACATAATCTGATGTTTGTGCATAGAGAACAGCTTAATATTATGGATCCTGACATCCTTACTCAGAGTGACCCTCCCAAATAAAGCAAAGCCAAGCCAAGCCCGCCGCTTATATACTGTCCCGTACTGGCCCATCACATACCGTGAAGAGAGAGGCGATGTCTTCTGATTACATAATCTGATGTTTGTGCACAGAGAACAGCTTAATATTATGGATCCTGAAATCCTTACTCAGAGTGACTCTCCTAAATAAAGCAAAGCCAAGCCAAGCCCGTCGCTTATATACTGTCCCGTATTGCTTAAAGCACCCTTTGGATGGTTTACAATTTAATTATGTAGGCTACACATTGCCTCCCTCCAGCAAGCTGGGTACTCAGTTTATCAACCTCGGAAAGATGGAAGGCTGAGTCAACCTCAAGACAGTTACTTGAGACAGAACCCAGTTTGTGAGCAGAGTATTGTCCCAGTACTGCAGTTTAACCATTGTGCCAGATGGTTCCTGAATATAGCTTCCACTGCTTTAGGAAAGAAACGAAATAACCTCTAACTGGCTCAAGTCTGCCTGTTGCACAGACCAGGTATATTATAAAATTTCAATGATGCCTTTAAATTTGAATGGTTTCAAGCTGTTGTAAACTCTTATGGAGATCAAAAGTAATCTGTCATGGGACGGAGGGTTATGTGAAAGCTGTGCCACGGCCTAATATGACATGAGATTTATTGAAGGGTGAATTGTGTCATTTATGCATCATCTCACAGGAGAAAAGAGGACTGGAAGAGGGGGGGGGAGCAATCCCTGTGCAGTTAATTTAATAATAGACTGGAAAGCCACGATTACGGTTTCAGGTGCACCAACCGTCGGAGAACAGTGATTGGCCCAATTTGCAATCAAGTCGGGATCGCTTGCCAGAGCCTTGGGAATAACATGTGTTAAGTCAACAACCGTATGGGACACATCACAAAGTTGTTTATGGAGGAATAAAAAAAATTGCCACTGGGTTCTACTATGAAACCTGACACAGCCTCCTTTAATACCTATAATGGCGCAGTAGCACGATACCCGTAAGAAACAATAAAATACCTGGTTATTTCAACAGGCATTTCAAAGTATTCTGCCTGTGGAGGCCACCAAAACTGCTTATAATGAGACTGATTACTGCAAATTTAAATGTTTTAGGTATATATTTTAGAATGGATTTTAACAGTTGGACTACGGTTATTTTATTTTATTATTTATTTATTTATTTGCTGTTTGGTTGTACTTTGTAATGTCTGTTTGATGCTATTTTGTGCTGTAAACCACCCAGATTAGCCACTCACTGGTCAGGCGGGCGGTATATAAATCTAACAAACAAACAAATAAATACCTCTTCAAAGAGTTTACTCTAAGAGAAAAAAACTTATTCCAGCATCAGTGCATATAAATGATGGTTTCAGCAGATGCCCTGACATCTACTACTGTCAGAATCTCCACTGTTTGGGAATAAAGCCATTGTATCTACTGTCAGAGGGACACTGTTTGAAACTAGGTTGGGTAAGTAGGTTGGGCTGGAGAAAGGGTGGCCACTTAAAAAGGTAAAGGTAAAGGTTCCCCTTGACATTTTTAGTCCAGTCATGTCCGATTTTGGGGGGGGGGATGCTCATCCCATTTTCAAGCCGTAGAGCCAGCGCTTATCCGAAGACAGTTTCCATTGTCACGTGGCCAGTGTGACTAGGGAACACCATTTTACCTTCCCACCGAGATGGTACCTATTTATCTACTCGCATTTGCATGCTTTCGAACCGCTAGGTTGGCGGGAGCTGGGACAAGCGACGGGCGCTCACTCCGTCGCGTGGATTCGATCTTACGACTGCTGGTCTTCTGACCCTGCAGCACACAAAGGCTTCTGTGGTTTAGCCCGCAGTGCCACCACATCCCTCAGGGTGGCCACTTACACATCATCAAAAGAAGAAGAAAAAGAAGGGTGCAATTCACATGAATTTGCATAAACTAATTTATTAGTACAGATGGAAAATTACAATCTTTCTAAAAATAATTTAAACCAAATTATAACACTAGTCACCAACGTGGAAAAGAATGTGACCAGGTGAATGGCACGCCTGCTGATTTCACTGTCCAGGGCAGCTGTATGTCCTGTTTATGGTTCTTGATAAACCAGACCTAGATTGAACACGCCTTCAAAGACAGGACAAGAGGGCTGGTGCCTACTTCAGATGGGGAATGTGTAGCCCAACAGGCGTTCTTCAACTATCAGCCCTAGCCAGTACAGGGGCAATGGGACTCCCAGCCTAGCAAGACCTGGAGGGCTACACCTTCTCCATCTCTGGTGTAAACCAACAGGGTTTTTTGAATGTGCTATAGAAGGGGTGGGAAGGAGTTAAATCTTCTTGACTCAGGCCTAAGGCTTCACAGCAGCCAAGCTCTAGAACCCAAGGCTCCCTTCCTCAGCTTCTTCTTTGCTATGCCGATGAAAGCCATCCTTTCAGATCTTTCAGGATCAACAACTGAGAGCAGGCAGGTTCTTAACGCTGAGAACCTTCTCCATCATCAGCTATCCCAACAGGTTGCATCAGAAGGAGGGATGATGAGACATCACAGGCCCTTTTAGCGGCCTGTTTGGCCAAAGGTCATTTTGTACCACAACGTACCACTGTCCTTATCATTAGCTTGGATCCCCAGATGTTCGTAGACTGCAACTCCCAAAAGCCTTCGCCACTAGCTGTCCTGGCAAGTCCTTCCTTAGCTGTTCCACTTATCTACTCATGGGGAAATGTAAAAGAGGAAGGACCATCTCTCACCTGGGAGCACCTGCCAGTTGGTTCGCCCTGCCTTTCCCTGATCTAGGCACCTGAGCACATTAAGGGGAGAGGGGACAGGAAGGTACACCTTGCTCAGCCTCGTTATGACCATTTATCCTTCGGCCTCTCTTATCCTGGAATTGGCAAACTCAATAGCTGGTCATTGACACAGTGTGCTGCAACCATGTGTCAACCCAAATTTCTTTTCTGCTTTTCCTCACCATCCTCTCCAATCCTGAACTGCCATTGTTGCTGTTGCATGCTGTCAAGCTGCCCCCTAATTTATAGTGACCCTATGAATGAGTGATCTCCAAAATGTCCTGTCCTCCACAGCCCTGATCAGCTCTTGTAAGCTCAACCCTCTGGCTTCCATTAGGGAGTTAATCCGCCTCATATTTGGCCTTCCTCTTTTCCTGCTGCCTTCCACCGTTCCCAGCATTATTGACTTTTCCAGGGAATCCTGTTTTCTCATGATGTACCCAAAGTCTCAGTTTCAACATTTTTGCTTCCAGAGGTAGTTCAGGCTTAACTTGATCTAGAATCCACTTGTTCATTCCTTCAATTTTAATTTATCT